TGCTGAAGCCCAGTGCTGGATGTATCTTACATGTGCACTCTAATCCCATAATTAATCCAGGAGATGGGCATTAAGAAGTAACACTGCTGTTACACAAAGCTATTTAGAGAAGACTTTCCTATTCTCTTCCCTAAGGACCTGCTACTGGCCACTGCTGGAGACAGGACTCAGGGTTGTCTGGTCTGATTCAGAGCAGCAGTTCTTCTCTTAATGATCCCTCTGGGTCTTGCAATGTAAGAAATGTCTTCTGAAGGCTGTTAGGGAAAGGATAAGCCAGGATGCCATGCAACATTTCCAGGAACTCCAGATGGCAATCTGTAATGGAAGTGTGCTCATCAACCTACCCTCTCAGCTGGACCCCTGGCTGGAACTAACACCACTGTAGGAACTCACTGCACGTGCACTCACCTGCTCTACATGGGGCTTCTTGGCAAAGGAGATCCTGGCTATTGAGTGAGAAGCTATAGACAGCTCTTGTCCATTCACCTCCCCTTCCTCCACCTCCACCAGACCTAGTGAGAAGCAAGGGCATATATACAGATCATTAGGCTACAATTGTTACTTAATGTCCCAATTAGGCTACAGAACAGACCACACCTTCCCTGAAGAAGGCTTTATTTGACCTAGCACTTATCCACAACTGCAAATCCCTGCAACCTTGGATTTGCAAAGCTGCTCTGAAAAGCCCAGACTTACCCACACCCTGTAGGATGAGTGTTGCATTGTGACTGGCAGTTTTCCTTCCAGCACCTGCTCTGGAGTTCTAGATGCTAATTTAAACATCAACTGGGTTTTAACACTCTGTCACTTATAATAATTCAGTTCCTGTAAATTGTGTAACAAGGCACTACATCCAAATAATGGAAAATTCTCCTAGTTTAGGAGCTAAGAAAGAAGACTACACTGACACTGCCCTCCAAGACTGTTAAGGGAACAGTGGGAGAGAAGCTCCCCAGTCCAGGCAGGGTCTTTAAGAGAGAACCTGTTGTACAGGCCACTCCAAACACTCCTGGATGGCGAGGCTGCAAGTGGGGGTTAAAACCACCACAGCCCCACGAGCTCTGTCCTGCCCCACAGAATCAAACGTGGCAAGAGCTGATGTTGGTAACAACAACTTAAGTGGGATGTTAAATTCAGCTCTCCTTAGAAGGAGCAGCTGGCTAAATATGACCCTAGCAACAGAAGGAAGACTCTAGCCCTAGGAGCTCAAGAACCAAGGTATGCCTTCTGTATTTCTACCCCAGGGTCAGCTGTGGCCAACTCACAGGAGCAGTGGGAACAAGGCATATTTTCTCTGCCTCCCCATGAAAAAAGGACTAGGATGCCACAAAGGCATCAAGAATATCACTGGCCCCTTATCACCTTCCATCTTTACGGCTCAGGCTACAACTGAGGCAGGGGTTCTTTTGGTTTACAAAGCTAGGTCTGCAAATATCAACATTTCATTTGAAGAAAGGCTACCCCTTGAACCTCCTATATGAGCAGTATTTAGACTTGCAGCCCTTTCCTGCTACAGAACACTAGGAAGCCCCACTGCCTGTGCCAAGCCACAGGGTCAGCCACTGAAACTCAGCGCTTTAGACACGAGCTCCTTTGTTTCCAGCAGCTCTTTGGTCCCGTGAGAGGTGGAATAATTTCCTGGCAAAGTGATGAAATGGCACAGCAGGGTGAGGAGCCTCCCCAGCACGGGTCTGAGGCGTGTACCTGTGTTCTGGGCACTGATGAAGGCCACCTTGTTAGTGTCAGGTTTGAGGCGGATGAAGCCACATTCTCGGTGCATGGGCTTCCTGGTGTCTGGGTGGAAGGCGTTGAACCTGGGGGGAAAGCAGAACACAAAAGCTGCTGCTTGTGCCACTCAAAATAAGTGCTTGGCCTCATTTCATCTTAAAGAAAATAGTATTTTATTGACCCACGTGGTTGCCTCGCAGTATCATTTGAAAAGACACCACCTCCTGGGTGGGAGATGTAACTGTTCAGTTTGCAGACACAGCTACTCCTGAGAGCTGGGGTTAGTTAAGTTCTCATCTTTTCCACAGCTCCTCAGTCTTTCTAAGAGCCAGCTCAAAAACTCCCTCAGGAAGTCAGACATTACACAGATGCTCAAGCTATACTCTGTCTCAAATACTTCCTTTTCTCAAATAAATACCTGGAATTACAATATCATCTTTATTTAGCTTTAAACCTGGCAAGCTGGAGGGTTTTTTTTGTGTGTTACATTCTGCAGGCACTAACAGAGCAGATTTATTTCTCCCACCACCCCTTCTACAATGAAAAAAAAGCTCAGCTCAGGTTTTTATTTATTCCTCATGAGGGCCTTAGAGTTGTATATTGGGTCACAATTATATATATTGCACATGTTCATATACTAATTAGTGCTACAGCATTCCTGAGTCTACACAGACAACTGAATTAAACAGCAGCTTACACACAATGGCAAGCTAGGTACCTATATTCTGGAGTTGTCCCTCATGCTGGAATTATCCAGAATCAAAGGAGGAACAAACTTAAATCAAGCTTCTTTCAGTGCCTGAAGCATTCAAGAGACACATGGACTGTCTTGTAACAGCCAAGCAGCACTACTCCAGAAGCCCAGGAGGCTCAGGGTCTCTGTGCTCCAAGCCTGTTGCCTCTTCTGATGCTTCCCAAAACTCAACAGCTCTGAGCTGTCTCTTTGGCACCAAAAAAAACCCCAAAGCAACTCCAATCAGCAGTTCAAAAACTAGAAAAGGAGGAGTAGATGAAGCATGATTAGAGTTAGCTAACAGGTCATTTCTCTTCCTCCAGATTTCTTGGTTTCTCCTAGGACTATGACTTGCAGCCAAAACTGTTGAGCTATCTGCTTCCTACCCCATAGAGTTTGTTAAAGACTTAAGATTTTTCTCAGCTTCTCCCAGTGGCAAAGACTGAGTACTACAGTTTAAAAAGGCACAAACTTGGCAGCCAAGCCATAGCTCCTTCATTTATTTCATCTGTAAGTGGGAGTTTCACAAAGCAGAATAACAGTTGCAGTGCTGTTACCTGAAGATTTATTTGTGATTAGACAGCTACTGCCACAAGGAGGATGGTGGGTTTTATTCTCACCATGAAGACAGTCATCTTTTAGCTAATATAGATGCACATATATGCAGTTACTCACAATATTCTACTACAGTCAGCTTTGCAGCACCCCAAGTTCCTTCTCACTCTGTTAACCCTTGAGCAGGCCACAACAACTGTACACTGTACCATGGCCAAAGTCCTGATCTACAGGAGTTCCCAGCTGGGAACTGCCTTTTTTGAAAAGCTCTGTAAGTGGGCTGTACCCTTTGGCTACCAAATCTTCAGTGATTGTAGGTGTGCACCTCTGGGTAGGCTGCAACAGCACGTCAGTTAATCACAACTTTCAAAGGAAAACAAAAGTCACACCATATCATCACATCACCTCATTTGGTAGGTGAAAACTTGTTTCCTTTGCCACTAGGAAAGAAGCACAAGCAGCAAATCTCCCTGGAGCCATGCCTGCTCCCACCCAAAAGCTGCTGAGAGCACAGATAAAGCCACAGACTTACGAGAAGTTGAGCATGGGCTGCCCCACGTGAGAGATGTGCACTTCTTCCAGGTACTGAAAGGGCTTCACTGTAGGGAAGGTGCCATCTCCTGGAGGGTCTGAGAGCCAGGTGCCCAGCATCCAGGACAGGGGCTCCATCACAGGATTCAGCTGTTGAGTCTCTGTGGAGGAGAGGAAAGAGGAAAGAAAGAAAATTCAGGCATCTATACTTTGCAGCTTGCTGTGAGCCACTCACAGCTGGGTGGAGGCAAACACAGAGCACCTCAGAAACAGTCCAGCCCAGCAGTAATGCTTTGCTCTGGAGTGGCAACAGCACCAAGGTGCCAAGGGGAGACAGGGAACGAGGAAAGTAGATCTGTTTTCAATCCTGAAATTCTTCCAGGTGGTCCATTTCAGACTCCTTGATCCTGAAGAGAAAGCCCCCTTCTTCTACAAGCAAAGAAGATGACTTGAAATCTCACTGAAGAGAATTATCACTAAATGATAATTAACTCTCTAATGTGGGGGTCTGATTTTTCTGGAGAACTGTTACTGGGTTTCAGAGACCAAGGAAATGAATCCTCACTTCAGAGGAAAAAGAAAATCAGGCTGCATAAATATTCAAGATCAAAGTTTGTCATTTTTTTTGAAGAGGTTAACAATGACCTGCACTTTTAGAAAGAGACAGGGATCCTTAAGAAGTTGTTGTTCTTAGGCTCTGGACTAAGGCTAAGTGAAACACTTTTAAAAGACTAGGGTGCCTGCAAGTTAAAGAGTAAAGGGAAGAAAAAGCCACTTCCTTGTCACTGCATCTATTAGAAGCAACCAAGATCTGGTTCAGTAAAACTCCTTCAATGAATCATTTAAGAAGAGCTTTTATAAAAACCAGTTTTGCATTTTGTTGTGATTTCAGAGGGTGGGAGTTAAAGGGGTTTGATTTCCACATCTAGTGATATCACTTCATACAAGAACAAAGTACTTGTCCAGCTAGTCTAGAAGGCAGACTCAGCTGTGGGGAGAAATTCTGACCTGAACAAGGTGATGCTGTGGGTAAAAATCTGCTTCATCAGTCAGAGTTTCACTAGTCTCAGTCCCAAGTGGCAGACTGAGCCAGGAAGAAGAGTCTGCACCTGGAACACCAAAGGAGGGGAAACAAAAACCTCGTAAAAGATCAGTTATGGAGTTCATCTGTCTCAGAAGGGGGAAGAAGTTCAGTTATCCCCATGGTACTCAGCCCCCTGAGCTGGGAGAGAGGGATGGAGAACAGAATGAACTCCTCATAACCCAGGAAATAGCAGTGCAGGACCTGCTGAGCCAGTTGGACACCCACAGCTCTGTGGGGCCAGATGAGATCCACCCACGAGTGCTGAGGGAGCTGGTGGAGGACCTTGCCAAGCCTCCCTCCATCACCTCCCAGCAGTCCTGGCTAATGGGGAGCTCCCAGCTGACTGGAGACTTGCCAATGTGATGCCCACCTACAAGAAGGGCAGGAAGGAGGATCTGGGGAACTCCAGGCCTGTCAGCCTGACCTCAGTGCCAGGGAAGATCAGGGAATGGTTCATCACGTGCCAAGTGGAATTCAACAGGGGGATCAGATCCACCCAACACAGGTTCATGAAGGGCAACTCCTCTTTGACCAACCTGATCTCCCTCTGGGATCAGGTGATCTGTCTCGTGGATGAGGGAAAGGCTGTGGATGTTCTCTCCCTGGACTTCAGGAGGGCATTTCACACCATTTCCCACAGCATCCTGCTGGAGAAGCTGGTGGCTCAAGGCATGGACAGGTGGACTCTTCACTGGGTTAAAAACTGGCTCAGCAAGATGCTGCTAACTCCTCTTTTCACTGGGTTAAAAACTGGCTCAGCAACTCAGCAAGATGCTGCTAACTCCTTTATCCTGAAGCATTTCACAAGTGAAGTGACATGAGAAAACACAAGAGCCCACTATGAATTAGGTGACACCAGCCTAAGCCTCAGAGCCAGCCTCTGCAAAGTGTCCTGCCAGCCTGTGCCCTCACCACCAGCTCACCATGGTGTTACCAAGGGGTTCCTACAGTCCATCTGCTCTGTGAGCAACCAAAACAACACAACATCATTCCCTGGTGCAGCAGAGACCTTAACACAGTAACGACTGATAAAATTGCAGAATTATTCCTCTCTACACTGCTTCTTAGGAGCCAGTTTCCCCTTTCATGTTGAGAGCACTCAGTGGGTGGAAGGAGAGCATTGCTGTCCTGTCCAACTGGTATTTTCTTTCCAAGCTGTCTGCAGGCTCAAACTCCCAGCCCAGAAGGAAAGAGCAAAGCTTTAGTAAGAGAGAAGAGACTGCAGCCTGTGCTGCTGCTGCCCTCTCCTGGGTTAGGAGCTGGGAACAGAGCCTAGGAGCAGGATGCTTTCTGTCACCAGGGCTTGTCATAGGCCACTTCACTTTCTTCTGCTTACCAGCCTGGCAGCATTTCAGGGAAAAAAAAAAAGCATCAAAATGACAGTTGAAAGAAATGTCTTTAGCCTTTTTCACTCTTTAGACCAAAATAATCCAATCAATCATTTCCAGCACCTTCAGCCTTGCTGTGCAGTGTCCAGCCTGGCTGAAGGTGCTTGATCAGGCAAGCTAGTCTCACTTCCAGAGGGCTGGACTTGTAACCAGCTGAAAAGTGAAGATGTGGCTGTACATGCTGAAGTCTACAGCAACTGGGCAAACAACACAGCCAAGTGACCATTGTTACTTTTCCAAACTATGTGGATGGCAGCAAAGCCAACAGGAGATTTTTAGTTCTTATGCTGCTTGGAAAAGCCAAGAGCAGCAGAAGTGCTGGTGGAAATCAGGACCAGAGACTCCCTGAGCACAGAAGAATAAACACATCCTCATCAAATCCTGTGCAGTGCTTTCATCAGCTAGTGGAGGAAACCCATTTTTGTCCCTGGCAGTCTTCTGTGCCAGAGGGCTGAGCTGAGAGCATGCAAAAGCAAGAGTGGGGAGGCAGACAGAAAAAAAGGCTGATTGAGTCCATAAAAAACCCAAAAAAGTGCCCAAGTTGTTGTGACCCCAGTGCCAGATCCTGCACTTGGGTCACAACAGCCCCAGGCAACACTACAGGCCTGGGGAGGAGTGGCTGGAAAGCTGCCCTGCAGAAAAGGACCTGAAAGGAGGTGGCAGTGAGGGGAGGGTCAGTCTGTTCTCCCACATAACAACGGATAGGACAAGAGGAAATGGCCTCAGGTTGTGCCAGGGGAAGTTTGGGTTGCATATTAGGAAACATTTCTCCACTGAAAGGGTTGTAAAGCCCTGGAAGAGGCTGCCCAGGAGGTGGAGTCATCAGCCCTGGAGATATTTAAAAGCCATGTAGATGTGGTGCTGAGGGACATGGTTCAGTGGTGACCTGGCAGTGCTGGGTTAACAGTTGGGTTCTGATCTCAAAACCCTCTTCCAACCAAAATGATTTTATGATTCTCTGACAGATGCAGTCACTGTCAAGAGAGATTTCACAGCCCAAGGAGCATGAATTTTGCTTTTGAAAGCTCTAAACTCTTGGCCTCTCACTTTTACAGCCTGCTGCTATGGCTTAAGAAGTGTGTGATGAGATGAAGAGCACAAATTATGTCTGACAATTTGCAGTGCAAGAGTCCCTGGCCACCCTTCTGCACGTGTAAAGCTTGAGACTCAGCTGGGGCCTCTGGTTCTCTTGCATCCACATGCAGAACTTCTCTCTTACCTAAAAACAGGGTATCTTATGCTCAAGCCTCTTTATTAACAGGGACACTGCTGGAGTTGCCTTCCTCCACCAGAGGACACTCCTTCTTGAAGCCATTATGGACCCAGCACCTTAGAGACCTCTGCTCCTCTACAAAATACAACTGAAGTCAGCCACCACGCTCACAAGCTGCAACAGCTTGGGAGGAAAAAACACCCACAGGCACATCAGCAACCTAATCACCTAGATCTCTTTTCTCCAGGAAGCCACTGAGGCCAAAACTGCTGTGCCCAGGTCCTGGATACAAAAGTCAGCTCTGTTTCACCACTGGGCCCCACTTCATCACCCCAAACTCACGGATGGACTCCTTCCACATCTCTCCCATTCATGGGGGGGTCAGAAGACAAATCCTTCCCTGCAATGTATCAGGCTGGAACTGGCTGTCCAGGCTTTGCAGCAGGGACAGTGCCCTCTCCCTGCCACCAAACCAACCAGACAAAGTGGCTGGACAACCCCTCCAGGCCCTGCCTACACAGGCTCCAGCCAGCGTGGCTCTCAGGTGAGACCCTGGCACGAATTCCTCCACAGCTTTATCAGCAGAACTGTGGGGTGAGCAGCAGGGTGCAAGCAGAATTGCTCACTGCATTTAAACCCTCATCATCAAGATCTTGGCAAGTAAGGAGCAGCCTTGTCCAGGATACTTTTTCCATATTTAAATACAGAAGGTGGCTCTGCACCCTGCTGCCCCTCCCCAAGTGCTGCCTCCCTTTATGCACTTTGCTGATGCTCCCTCCAGAAGCCCAGTAAAGCATTCCCAGCACTGACAAACCCCCTCTCTGCTCTAAATTCACAAATTTTCACCTTATGGCCTATCCTGGTAATTAATTTAATGACCAAGCACCAATGTGTTATTGTCTCTGATTCTAACCTCTGTGGTAACAAGCTTCAGTGGCTGTAAACATTGTCAGAGTTCTCATGCACTACAGAAGACAGAGAAAATATTTAATTATACACTACTATGAGAAATCCAAACATCCTACCTGAGCTTACCTCACTGTTTTACTTTCTCTTGAAATTTCCTTAGTAAGCATTTTCATTGCTTCCTAGTTGCAAGCTGGTTTTTTTTTGTTGTGAGCCATTCCTGACTCAGATTCAGCCCTGCTCTTAACCTATGCACACATATTCCTGCTCCTTATCTCACTCCTAGCTCAGTTTATGGCTCCTCTTGTTCCTTGTAACACATACTCTCCTGACCAGCCTTCTGCCCAGACTGTTCCCATTTTAGACAAGGCAGAAAAAAACAATAAATAACACACATTTAATGTTTGAGTCCTTCTGCCTGCCCCCAAAGTTCACCAGCTCTGCTTTGTTCACAAATAAGACTTATAAATGACCCCATTTTTACCCTGACTTTGTACAAACATTCAAAAGCAAACCTAAGCTGGATGAGAATATGACTTCCTACAAACCCTTAGCAAAATTCTAACCATTTTTTCAGGTGGACTTAGTTTGCAAACTCTCCTGCCTTTAATATGACCTTCAGGAATGCAGACATTCAGCTCACACAGCTGAATTCTGCCAGCTCCACCTCCCTGTTAAACACAGACACCTCCAGTCCCATCCAGCCCTACCTGCAGTCGCCTCCTTGCCAGCCATAGTCTGCAGTTATCTCTCTAGTGCTTGGGCTAGCTCTCTAACCACCTCTGCCCACCAGAAAGTGTTCTGTGCAGGCTTGGTAAGATGGCTGTAAGGGAAGTGATCTCACAATGAGGTAAAACAGTTATCCTGGTGTCTGCTGGGAGATGGAGTTTGAGAAAAGGATCAAACTTGAGCATGTTCAGTTGAGGTGATCTTGTGAAAGAAGCATCTCCTGCCTGTGCTAGCAGCAGGGGAGCACGATGCAGCCAAGCTGCAAACCTTCAAGCAGAACAAGACAGATAACAGTTCAGTTACAACAGCCTCCCCTTCCAAGGACACTGACTCCACACTTGATTACTGTGTCTCTCTGATTTCTCCCTTTGAATTCTGCTGTTCTCCAAAAGACTCTGCCCAACCACACCCCTCTGCTGCAAGGAGACCTTTGGTCCACACATCTCAGAAGCAGAAAGGAACATTTTCCTCCCAAACAAGCAAGCAAATTCAAAGCTTAGATGGAAAAGGTCACTGCAGGAGCTGTGCAGGAGACAGCCCAGGGCTTCTCCTAAAACCAGGCAGTTGATCCCCCTGTTAAGATGCATTTTTGGATGCTGTTGGGAAGCACCATTTAAGTGCATCATAATTCTGCAGAAACCTTTCCAGCCAGTCGTAGTTTGGATGCAACTACACATGAGATGAAACAGGAAACTGAAGTGTAGCTACTAACAAAGACTAGAATTATTCTTAACCTAATACGTTACCTGACTGATCTTTATGAACACAAAAAACCTTTTCAATTCAGCTTTTTATTAGGGTAAAACTTGGTCTAGTCATAAACCAGTCTAGGCACAAACCAGACTCTGTCCAGAGGTAGTCAGCTGCACTGGATCAGGTACTTTGACTAACAAACTATTACTAAAAGCACACAAAAAGCAATGCAAGGCAGAAGAGCACCAAGACTGAGCTAAAAATGAAAAAAAGAAAAGCCTGCCACCAACAAACCCTTTCAGAGTCACCAGCCAAGCAGTTCCATAACAACCTCCCCCTGCCTCAAGCTGCCATGGTTCATTTTCACAAACTGAGCTCCAGTTTTCCTGATAGGAAACAGTGGAGCAGATAATGGGTGGGTCAATTCAATTAAAAAAAATTACATTCTCCCTTAGAAAACAGAATATGTAATTCTTACATTCTTATAAAAGATATTCTTACTGTGTAATTCTCACATTCTCAAAGGCAGATGTATTAAAAACATCCATCTCAGGAAAAGAAAGAAAAGAAAAAGCACAGTGCTTGGCAGAAGAAATGAAAACATCCTTCAGGACACTCTTTTTGCAATTAGTATCTCATTGAAGGTATTCCAACAAGCCTAGACATCCTTTTTCCATATGTATATGTGAGATGTATAATTATATATATATATAATTGGCATATATGATATAATTATACAATTTTCATTATGTATATGACAATTATGGAGCCCTAAAATTGTATTATTTTCTTTAGTTTGACACCAAAACAATAAAAAAATACAGACTAGAAGGTACAACAAAGACTGTGATGATTTCTCATGAGGGGAAGAAAGAAATCTTCTCCTCACTCTAGCCAAATCAAACTGTGGGTTTGCCCATACTTCAGAAAATTAAAACTGTAGGAAAAGTAGCATTGGGTACTTTGGGTATCAACCTCTGAGGAGTTTGTCAGGGTTTATTTTCTTGTGCTTGAGTAAGGAATTAGGCCAGGCTATAACAGCCTGGAGAACGTGCCTGCCTAGGCCAATGTCACCCTTCTGACCACATCTAATAATATGTGGCTTCAGAAGAAGCCAGGAAGTTTGTTCCCCTAAAGAAGGAGGGATCTGGGAATGACTATCAGGGAGTATCTAACCACCCACCAGTGGCAACCTCTTCAAAAAAGCCCCAACTCATGCACCCCTCAGAAGGCAACTCAACATTTTCTCCTCAGCCACACAGACACCAAACATCACTAGATGTCTCTAAACTCTTCCCTGCATTGCATCTTGCAGCTAGAGTCATTGTACACAAGTTTTACCAGCACTTTCTCCTGCAAGAGAAAGGGGCTGTGGATTGATTTGGGTCCTCCTCAACAACCTGTTTTGTGAACTCACCCCTTAACAAATTCCTGTTTTCAGGACAGCTCATTAGCACACCAAAAGAATTCCCAGGCAGAGTCCAAAGGAAGGCAAATCCTAACAGGGGATAATGAGTCACAAACAAGTTAGAGTAGCCCAGGAAGAAAAAAAACCCAAACACACACCAAAACCAAAAGTAATTGCTGTCTGCAACACCATGACCTAACTTCCTGTTCCACACCAGGAACTGCCTTGGAGACTTCTGGGATAGAATAAATCTCTCACATGCTCAAAACCCTAATTCTTTCATCTCTACCTGTTGGTCTACACAAGCTACCAATTCTCCTTCCAAAAATGTATCTTTCTCCTATCTTTTACCCATCATAACTCCACGACCTCGAACTTAAAAGCCTCTTATTGCTAAGCAAACAGTGAATCCTTCCTCAACACAAAGCCCCTGGGGAATACTGACCACAGTCCTGGGATAGCAGGCTGTTCAAGTAAGGGAAACTGATCCTCTTCAGCTCATCTAGCTTCTCCTTCAGCTTCCTGACTTGACTGTCAGAACGACTGATCCTCTGCCTCAAAAGTTTCAGCTCTCCGTTCTTCTTCTCCACCTGCTCCCGCAAGCAGCACACCTGACTTTTGCTCTGCCTGGAGGAGAAACAGTACGAGTGGAGGGAGTCGATGAGCTTGCAAGCCCCCGAGGCAGACATGATGACCTCGTTGATCGACATGGGGTTGGCATCCGTGTCCCCCTTCCTCCCCAGCACGGCCTCAGCAGCAGGCTGAGGGGTCAGGTCTGCCGGGGACGCCGACAAACCCTGGCAAGGTTTCTGGGGGGTCGCCGTGAGGGATGAAGTAGGGGAACCTTCCGTGGCGGCCTTGTCGTGTCCCAGGAGATGGCTGCTGCAGCTCGGCTCTATGTCTCTCTTTGGCCTTTTCCTTTCTAGCTGCTCTTTTGGGAAGGATGGCCTCTCTCTGGCGTGCTTAGAGGAAAAGCTGTAAGAATGAAGGGAGCCGATGAACTTGCAAGCACCAGAGGCAGGAGGTGTGAAGTCGTCGACGGACACGCCGCTTCTGTCTGCCACCCAGCTCCCCGTCCAGCTGCCTTTGGGACAGTCCTCTAGGGATGATCTCTCAGGTTTTTTCTGAGGCCCAGGCTTCGCAACCAAATTATCACCTAACATCCTCCTCCGAGGGCCGTCCCGGTGGCCGGGCAAGTTCTCTTCCTCCTCAGAAGCAGATCCAGTTTCTGCTTGCAAAGTCGCCTCCTCCATCTCTTTCGTCCCTTGCGTCACCATGAAGTCCTGCCCAGAAGCTGAGGTTCTCTGAACTACCTCACATCCTCCTTCCCTTGGGTCTTCTCCATCCCGCAGCGGCACCTGGCTCGCTATTTTTCTTCTGCTTCTGACATACTCCAGGTTGTCGTGTTTTTTCTCTGCAAGCTGGAAGATGGTGGGGACAGCAGTGGGCTTCAGCAACCTGTGTTGGTCCTCCAGCCGCTTAGAAAAACTGTCTTTGGTAAAATGCTCGCTGCAAAGAAACGAGTATTTGGTGGGAGTCCAGTTGTCTCTCTGAACAGCTTTCAGCCACTGAATCAGGCGCTTGGAATCCTTCAGAGGGAATCTAAAAACAACAAACAGGGAAAAAAAATTCATTTTAAAAGAGTTGCATTCTGTGAATCAGAAGGGTTGGTAACCTCAGGCTTAGGAAACTCTCATGAAAGCTGTATTTTAAGACGTTATGCTCCTTTCAGGGTTATTTCACTTTAGGTTGAAACACTGGGTGTTTGTCCATGCTGTTAACAGCTCTGCTTCACCAACAACACAGGACTAGAAAGTGTTGTTGCCTTTTCCATCAG